CTACAATCCTATTTTGCAGGGAGTTCTCTGCTATGCTAATGAGCAGGATTAAGGTGGGATTAAGTCTTGGCCTTAGTAGAGGATGTGAACCAAGCCACAGCTTTGTTTGCCTGGAGTCTGATCTAGAGAAAGACAAAAGGCACAACTCCACTAAGAGTCATCCCCGGTATGTGGAAGTCATCTCAGAAGCACAGAGAGAAATCCCAGGACTATTGGAAGTGGAGCATGTTCCAGGCTCTGTCTGAAGTGGCAGAGGCCAAGATCAAAGACACGAGAGGCTGTGGCATTAAGGTCACAGGACAGAGCAAAGGAACTAGCCCAAAACCAGAAGTCAATGTATTGCCAGAAGATGATATACTGCCAGAAGATGAGCCCCTTCAAACCATGGTTGGAAGACATTTAAAATACAACTGAGGAAAGGAGTCATCCTTAATGATGCCCATAAAGCGAAGCTTTCAGATCTTCATTTTCTGATGGGGTACAACTCAAACTGAGAGAAACAGCTGCAAACAGCCATTAATAATCAGAACGTGAAATCTAGGAAAACTTTAAGCCTTGATTTATACTTTTGAACAACTACCTCCTTTGTCATGAGACCCAAAGAACGGGATGATAATTACGGATCATTTGATTAAAAATTCCATAGAAGAATCCTGATAAAAATAGAGAAAATACTGAACAGAATTTCAAATTTTGGAGCCATAGAGTAAATGAACCCCTAAAACGATTGCCCTTAGATAATCTTTAAACTGTAAACCAAAAAAACACCACGTGAAGTATTCTCTGAACTGAGCAACAGATTCAGTTACATAGGAAAAAAAAAAAAGATCTATGCGCCTTGAATTATCTACATGGCATCAAATTGACAAGAGCAAGTCAAAAGATTAAGTAAGAACTTTAGAGGGCAATGAGTTTATGTTCTGAGGGAGGAATAACTCAGAAAAGGGCGGTGAAAATGGTCACACTATTCAAGAAAGGAATGAATGTCACTAAATTGTGCATGAGGAGCCCTGATGGTGTGGTTATGTGTTGGGCTGCGACTGGCATGGTTGCCAGTTGGAAGCCACCAGCAGCTCCTCCGAAGAAAGACTGGGCTTTCTAGTCCCGTAAACGTTTAGTCTCCAAAACCCACAGGGGTCGACTATGAGTCATCGCGGACTGGACGGCGGTAAGTGGGCGGGTTAAATTGTACATGGGGAAAATAATTGAACTGGCGTATGTTCTGCTGTACGTATTTTCAATCACAACAAAACAAAAAATACATATGAAAAAATGAAATGAGAAAAAATAATACAATGAATTATGAATTTGTGCTTTCACTGTAAACAAGCAAATGTACACTATTACTCCCTCTTTCATATCCTGAGATTTTAAAACATTTTTCAGCGAGAGAAAAAATTTGATAAAACTGTCAATTTTGTGAATATTAATCATGTGCATAAGAATATGTATGTGCTATTAAAATAAAAATGGGCACTGATTTTACAGACGAAGTTCACATTAGTTCTTCATGATGTTTAATTGTAACAGCACTGTCAGGTGAACACCAGGCTGAAACACCAAAGTTGACTCTTTGTTGAGCAGTATCAAAGGAGAGAATGATCTCTAAAACAGGCTCAGAAATCTGTCATCAACCTTACCTGTTTAAAATGCTTTCTCGTTGTTTCAAATCCAGGCATGGAATAATTGCTTATCAGTACTATGTGTGACCTGGAACTGGAAGAAATCACTAAAGGATAAATAGCAATCAAGATTTTTTTTTTTTAGCTCCCGATAGGAAAAAGAACCAGTTTAAATCAAGGATGAAATTTAATAGAAGTAAATGTAAATCTTGTCCTTAAGATAACTCAATGGCAGAATAATTGAGAGAGTGGAAGAGGTAAGGATTGTAGCTCAGGGCAGATATAAAATAAGTGAACAGTTTTCACATAGCTTCCTCAAAAAAGAACTAAGAAACGTTGAAAAGAGGAAGGAAGCATGTATTTACTAAATATGTTCTCTGTCTAGTACTTTGCAAGAAGGGTTGACATATTCTTGTCAATGATAAGAGGAAATTAGTAAAAAGTGTATTTTAGAAGCTGGAAAATGAAGGTTTAAAGTTCCTTGCCAAAGGTTACATTGCTGTTATTAAATAAAGCTATTCCCACTATACCACTCTTGTCTCTCAAGGGTCATATTAATAAAGGCAATATTCAGACGTCTAGCTATTCTGTTCTGGTCAGATCATATACTGTGCTCATAGTTGGGATTTGGAAGGACTAAAATTTGATAAGTACAATAGGATCCCGGAGGAACATAGATAGCATTGGACTCTACAGACTGTATCTTACTTATTTAGTAGTAACCAATTCCTGGAATACTTTCAGTGCGGCGTGAAAGACAATTTTTAGGTTAACATACCAAATTTAAAGGTAACCACTTGCGCTTAAATGAAAATTCCAAATAATTAGCATCCTCCTCTAACAGAATCAAAGCATCCTAGTGGTATTGGACTGCTAACAGTAAGTTTAGCAGTTCAAACCCACCTGCTGCTCTGCAGGAGAATGATGAGGCTATCTGCTCCCATAAGGTTTAGTCTCAAAAACCCCAGAAAAGGTGGTCATGGCCAGAGGATGTACATTGGTACAGACAGCAACTGGAAACACAGGGAATCCAGGACAGATGACCCCTTCAGGACCAGTGGTGAGAGTGAGGATGCCTGGAGGGTGGAGGGAATGTGGGGTGGAAAGGGGGAACCGATTACAAGAATCTA